TTGCCTTTTGCAAAGTAATGAATATCATGAACGCATCGGTCGTTCAGCACGAAATGCTGGGACTCCTAATTGCCCTGTGGCAGATAAGAGGCACTTTTAGATGGGAGTATTTCCCACTATTCGGTTTTAATGGGGATTACAGGCCAACGAGCAGACCGTGGATGCCCCACAAATTTGGCTCAAATTAAATTTGAGACCCATACCATATTGCAACTATTCTGTTATATTTTCAGAAAGAACTGTTAGTCTAATTGTAGCATAAACGCAAAAAGGATGGTGTTGAAATTTTTTCTTGTGAAGAAATCACGTTACTGCTGCAATTAGCTAATTAGCAATTACCAAGTCCTTCATAATCTCGCTTTATTCAGGGAGCATTTCGCTTTCATTTTTTAATGCGTTCTGATGGAAAATATTTTAGTTTGCCTTATAGCACAAGTCGTCACCATCTTTAGTGTCTTGGACTGCAGTAATAAAAACACCTTATAAGTTCTCTCAACTGAAGTGCGGTAAAAGAGGCAAACCATAGTATTGAAAACGAACTTTTAGAGAGGGTAAATGAAGGTGAACTGACATGCGTCATTATTATATCCAGGCAACGGCAGTAGGTGATGAAAAATACATACCCCGTTCTATGAACGCATCTTATTTTAATGTAGCAAAATCACTTTCTCCTAATGTATTCAGGTATTCATCTATTTAGCAACTTTGGTCAATTGCCTTTTCATTGTGGAAAAGGAAATAACTTCTGTTCTGTTTCGTGCACTTACAAAAAAATCGCTTATTTAAGTTAATTTGTCAGCTCGGGACGGCAAATAATATGGTTTCAGTATAATTTGTTTAACGTTTTTCGAGATTGGCTGCTCTCCATGTCTAAGAGACCGCGTTACAGAACATTCCACTAACTTGAGTATCCACTACGGTCGGCAAAACTCGATGCGTCATCACAGAACTCACCAATTGTTGTTATGACTGTCGTGGCAAAGTAGAAGGCACCTGCAAATTTCCACTGCGTTCCCGCACGATAGGGCTTCAACTGGATACCCAGCTGGGTAATTTTTTCAAAATCTTCCGCCGTGATATTGTACCTCCGCTGCCACTCTCTCTCCTGTGCATGTAGTCTCTCCTTCTCCGTGCCCTCCATGTCAGATTCGAGGGCGTCGAACACGGCTGCTCCGAGAACCAGGTAGGTGAATGTGCACACAATGAGAGCCAGGGTGCGGACATTTTGTCGTTTCATTTTTCTCCTCTCGCAGATAAGCAGGCACTAGCCACTGAAAGCGTACAATTTCGTGGGTTTTGATGACTGGGCTGCCTTTTACGCGTGTATGCGTCCACGGGTCGCTGTAGCCGAGGCCTGATTGGCTGGCCGAGGAAGTGGGCTAAACGCATTCGCCTTTCGATTTGTCTAGTACAGTGGGTCGTTCTAGCGGTGTTCTGACCTGTGTAACGAATTTGGTACGGCGTGAGTCAGCACACGAGGCTTTCGTTGAAGAGGTGACATTTTAAGCGCAGCGGTTTCGATTTCGCTGGTAGGCGTCTGCCTACCATGATATCAGGAACAGTTCCACGATAGGGGTAGAATAAACTCCTCTTCCCAATGTGGTCATGGAGGTGTCAGATAACTGATGAAGTGAAAATCTAGTGACAATTTTGTTGAACTAACGAAATTCTTCTACCCTATTTAAAAGATGAAACCGCTAAGGATTTTCTTCATATGTCAAACCCACTAACTACTTAGCCTACTGTGAATCCATCAAGCAATTAGTGATAGCTCGAAGGTTATATGCTTCGCCAAAAGTTCGTGCCCGTCCCTTTTTTTATGATAAATTGGGTCGGTAATCTAAAATACCAATAAATATAATTTGTGAATCTTTGCACACTCATGCTCGCCTCCCACTGGTTCTTATAACGGAACAGTTTTTGTTTCGTTGAATACGATTCGGTTATTACAACTGAAATGCCTTAAACTCATGGACTCTAGTTAAACATGTAATTGTAATTCAACTACTTATCAGGAAATTGTCTTATTTACATGACAGGCTTTTGATAATTAGATGTAACTTAAATGGTTTAGTTAGGGTGATAGCTACTCCTAATAAGAAAGTAAAAGAACGGAATCCTAATTTTGATCCTCTTTTCTTTGTCTATAGTATTCATTTGCAACCCAAGTGCTTGCGTAGTCTCGGGAACCCAAGCCTATTCAGTCATTTGCCCACGTCCTTACTGAATACGATATGGGTTCTGATTCAATCTTACTATTTTACTTGCGCATAATTTTGGACCAGCAAGTCTCTCCTAATGCGTTATGCTTCCCAGCTGCGTTTCAATGATTAATGACTGATCCCATGTTGACCTCAAATAAAAAAGGCTTCGTTTTGCCATATTTTGGCCAAATACGTTTTAAAACGTGGAAGACAACTGCCACTAAACAAATTAACGAAAGCCTACATCATATTTGGGAGGGAATCCTTAAGATGATCATACTAGCTCAGGTCGAAGGTAGGACACACCGGTTAGTTACCCATGGATTCAATTATGATATAATTGAAAGGTCACCGGGTGGTTATTTTACACCCACCGCATTAAAGTAGCTCCTAAACTGGTATGTACCCAGGTGCTAATTTACTTCCAATTATCAAAAATGCAACGAACCACTTGCTCTGGGAAATGTATCGACATGTTTCCCAAATGCAACAAACTCCCAGCTAATCATCCAAAATACAGTATTTGTGGTTGGTAGGTATAACTGTTTCTAGCATGAAACTTGAAAAATAGTAAGCACTGCTGAGTGCATTTTGTTTGTCTGTTCGCATATTTTCCATCCAGGTAAGAGGTATTTACTAGTCGCCAACACGTGCCACTATTATTAGCCCCTACATCTTTACCTACACAATTTTTTCACATATGAGTACTTTTCAAAACTTTAATACTTTAGGTTTTATGGTTCCGACTGTTCTGACTTTAATCACAGGACCGCTTGAGATTGTTTAAAAGCTCTCTCTAAACGGTGGGGATACGCTCCGACTAAAGTGATGCATCATTGGCGGAGGAAGCAAGTTAACTTTAATTTCAGTTTATTCACTCCAGGGGTGTGAAAGTGGATTTACTGCCACTTTGGCAGTTAATGCGAAGTGGATGCGGGAGCTGTCTTGGGAATGAACGCATACAAACCATCGTGTGAATGGCAAGGCGCACGCTCCTCCTAAACCTAAATAACATTTCATTTTAATGGAACAGTACTGAAATTGATGAAACTCGACTGAGTTGGATGACAAAAAAAGTTTTTGAAGCTATCACTGTCATAAAATATTTTGTTTTAAGAATCAATTGTGGTTCTGCACTTCAATTCACATTATTTGCGTATCAGGCCTCTTCCCCAAATTTTTCATACAATAGGCTTTTGAAACCGAAACCCTTTTGCATATCCGGCACCTATACATGTCTTTACAATCTAGTTTAATCAAACGTGTTTGCCACGTGCACACATAAATCCGTACATACTGTCTGTTCAATGCAAAGCCTATTGTTTTGTGCCTCAAAAATATTGTTTTACGTTACCTTTGAAGTATCCATGGCTGTAATTAACCTTCTCAAAAATGCCTAATGAAGAAAATCTTTCCACTTTTTTTGCTCCATCACTGAAGCATCTGGACGGTTCACTAAAGTTAGAAACCAAGGCTGTCTCGTGGTGTGGACCATCTGTCCGTTGGATTTTCCAATGACTTCGGAATGGTTATGAATGCTCCTATAACTAATGTCGTCGGCATTAGTAGGTGTATTTGTAGATTATGATTATTATAAAGATAAGTGAATAACTTTAAATGTAATGCTTATGTACTAGTTTATACTTTGAGTACCTCATACCCGAACCCATTATGTTTTACTACTGATAATTTACACTCCGACAGTTGGTGGAGCGTGTTCTATTATAAATCTATTTACCAAATTAACCTAAAATCGTTTAAAAAATCTTTATATTTTCATGATAAATATCAAAACATAACCTACTTACACATTGCAAACCCCTCCAGTAGTGTAACATTTGTGGCCTACGAGCAATTAATACAGTTGATTTAAACATTTTTTTGTTGTCTTGGGCATCTGAAGCATATTTTAATTTAAAAATTGGACACACCATAATTCCATTAAAGTGCTGCTATCCACAGTCCGCTCCTTTTACCAGTTATTCTATATTTTCCAAGTATTTTCGTATACTTTATTGAAGCTGTTGATAACTAACTATAGGCAGATTTCCTTGAATCAAATGGAATAGGAAAATCAGATTTTAGCGTTAAAGCGCAAAGGCATATTCCCCTCCCCTTCCAATGTCCAGTGCAACTTTTTCTAAAATCAAAGTTGTTTAACAGTCCTGATTTACGTTTACTTTATAAAGACGTCTTATAACGGTAACAATAATCACAGCTGTAATACTTCGGCAGGTTGTTCAACTCTGTGCTTTGGTTATTCGGACACTCAAGTCTCCGCAGATTGTTCTTCCGCCCGGCTGCAAGGCCCTGGCCATGCCAGTTGGTCTCAGCTCTTCTGCACGTTAGTAATGCAATTCCTGTCACGCTATCATGACTTCCTACGACTTCGGGAAAGACTCTGGGCTCTACATTAGTTGCTAAATTTTAAAGCCAAATTATGATACATCACAATTTATTTCTAAAAAACAACCCATCAATAGTAAATTGTTTGCACCACCTTAATGAGTTTACGATTATCAGTTATGCATACTTATTGGTGCCATTCCGACCTGACATTAGCGAGGCAGTTTAATGTTTTGTCAAGCTTAAATGGATTCTCTCAGATCATTGTATTGAACTGAATACATTCTTTAGCAGCAACTACAATGTGCCTGTGAGTAATCCACTTCGACCGGCAGTAGCATCAAGGCGACAAAAAACAATCTTGTTTATGGACGCTCTGTACCTTATTTTGAAGCATTTTATCCAAACATCGACTCATTTCGCGTCCAAAAATAGGCCATGAGCTGTAGAATACTAAGTGCTTTGTTCCTAAAGCTAACTTCTTTAATCAAAATAAGTATGTTGTAATACGTTAATTATTTAACCCTCACTTTTGGCAAAAGGGGCCACTTTGGGTCTCCACTACTGTGCTTTCGCCGTTTGGGCTGGTCTCCGAGCCATGCCAGCAACCCAAATCCCCTCTGTATGGCAGATTTAGGTATTCTGCCAGAGTATTATGTATTCTCTCATCTTCAGGCAAGTCTAAGAGCGCTACAATACATTTCGCTTTTTTTGCAGGTTTGCAAATACTTTACTGCTTATTCTACTTTTGAGCTCTCCCTTCAGATGGCAAAATACAGCCAGTCCCGCTAATAGGTGCAACTGAATTGACTCACCGGTGCATGAATAACTTTCTTTGAAAATTACTTCTCCGACCAGCATCATCACTAAAATCTTATTGAAAATGTCAAAGATTTAATGACACTGTTGGTTAAGGTGTTGTCAAGAGAAACTTATTAAAAGGTTTATTCTTTTAAATGGAACACGGTAAATTTCACCAAGTATTCGTAGTGTGCGAACATTTAAATAAAGCATTTGGATGAACTTAATTCTCTAAAGAAACAACAGATTTGATTTACTATGCCATCATAAAAACCAATTTTGTGGTACTCAAGCATACAAAATCAGGATTTTGACTTAAAAACAGACTAATTCAAATTATTCCTTCATTGATAAGTTAGCATATGCGCATACTTATTGATAACAAATGAGACAAATGGTTGTTTTTTTTTAGGTATTAACATCAGTCTTGAACTTCGTTAATGAACAACCGATCTGATAAAAGTGCGTAAAAATATTATTTAACCTTGATTTGGGTCTACACTTTTAAATTGGGAAATATTTGTGGGTTGCAAAATAGTTTATGAATCTTTTGCCTCTCCCTTTTCAGCCAGATGAGCTTTTAAAACCCACCGCAATAACCGCCTTTAGCTTTGCAAACGATAAGTTTAGCATCCACCGAGCTCTTAGACCGTCTCAAATTTGGATACAGGAGGAGACACGCCGCTACACTGCCATTTCACGCAAGCGTCATCGTTTGAAGTAGGAATTGTGCCGTGCTTTGAGCAAATAGTCCGCTCTATGATACGCGCTGCGGATTAAGCATCAAATGGTAAAATTCCACTCGAAGGCCTTATCAGTATTGTTGGAGATGAAGCAGCTATTTGCATATGCTCGTCTCTAGGGAACAGTATACAGTGTCAGCACA